AGGGAAGTAATAGAGCAAGTGGATAATTTTTTTCATTTAGACAGCTACATCTCACCCGGTGGACGCATCACGGATGAAGTATCAGCTCGCATACAGGAGGCTTGGTTGGCATTTGCCAACTTGAGACATCTGTGGCGCTGTCGTGACTTCCGGCTGTCTGTGAAGTGTCGATTGGATGCCGCGGCAGTTCAGCCAGTTCTGCTAAACGGCACAGAAACTTGTCCATTAAGAAAACAGGACGAAGATAGAATGTCGGTGTTCTAACACCGCTGTCTACGCAGTATTGCACGAATAACTTTCGCAAGATCCATGAAGAAAAAATAGAATGGGGGATAGGATTTGATGAATAACACAGCTAAAATGCGGATGGTAATGTCTTAATAGTTTAAGTCGCCGTCAATCACTTCAGTTTATTCTGTGTGGCATGCAATGGGTGATAAACTGGATGATTCACGAAGATCATGAAGTTCGATGACAGACAAATTCCCAACACGAACCTGGTTTTTCAGGGGGGAATATCTATAACCTTTGCAAAACCAAATACGGACTGAAAAGCAGCATTGTGTTGGTGCATGGTTGCCAGAAGCACATTCGCCGTTGTATGGACGTGGACGCAACCATAAGATCTATGCACCCATGTTGGACAGGACAGATGTTGGTTCGTACAGTAAATCTCATCTGTCCCCTAAGTCCATGAACGTCACACGAGATCTCGCAGAGGTGTTCAGTTGTTTGGCTTACTGTCAGTTTAGTCCAGGTTGCTTGTCGAGTGGTTTGTTAGGGTGTGTTTGATGATACATGCCACATTTTCTCGGAGTCACGAGTCAGGTGGTTAAATCATGACGACCAACGAGGAGGAATAGATCCCATGAGACACTGAAGTCTACCAGTTCAGAGGCACTAGTTCCATCAGATATCCTGATAATGGACGCATCGGGTTTTTTAAGGTATACCGTTTGGCTGTCCCCCGGATTGTTGCCCATACTGCTGACCCCCAGAGTAAATCGCCATTTCAAATTCCACGGATAAGGTTATGGTATTCAAATAAACCGTTGAACACTTGTGGACAGTGAAACGAAAGGAAAAACAGTGAAACGAACCGGGAACACCGTATCCAAAATGTCCCAAGCTGCGAAAACAAACCGATGGACAGGAATCAAGTCGCCTGTATCCAGTATGAGCCAACTGTCTGCGCATATGCTTCGACCGACCAGGGAATGGAAACGACTTGTTATCTGGAGCGCCGACGAACGAGGACATGGGACAGAGGCGTAAGCTTCGGGGGTGTTCGTCGGATACTGTATTTCGTCGGCTTTTGTATAAAGCTAGTAAGAAAATGACGTTGGAAAGACAGTCAGTCAGAGACTAGAACGGGTGGCTACTACGGAATTACTACCAATAAAACTCTAGTCTGGTATTTTACATGCACCATCAGAAAAGTTTTCATATTTTTACTGGTCCAGTTTATCGCCCTGTAATGACAATTTACGGAAGTATGTGCATAAATATACCAATCCACGGTGAGCCGGTATGGGTAACAGCATTGATCAAACAGCAGCGATACCCAGCTCGCACTACAAGCATGTATTGTGTGCAACTTTTGCAAGCACTAAGGTTTACATTTGGACGTGTCAGTTCGACACCACAGATAAACACGGTTGGCAAAAGCTAAAGCGGTAATCTGTGAATGATATTTGTTAACCATACATGATGTAGCTGCACAAGCGGAAAAATGATCTGAAAACTGACAGTGACCGTGGTAAACTCATGTGTAACACCCTTGGGGAAGCAATCAGGGGGATAGAAATTCTGGAACGACGAAAAGAAAATATAAATGAATTCCTGTTAAACCCCTTCCAATGAGGAGCAGTGCCAGAAAACGGTGAGGTTGATGGGGTTAAATTCCATTTAGGGTCAAACAACATATTAGGTGAGTCTACAGAACCTGGATTTGTGATCATGGGTGGTTAATACGTAAACATGTGTTAAGCACATTTTCGACCGGCATCTTGGTACTCGTGTGTACATGTTGTTCTGTTCCCACAAACATCCGGGTTGGAAAAATTCCTCTAGGGTTACTGCAGAAGGATCTATATCCTCTCTTAACGGCTGGGAAGATAGTGGGAATTTTCCAGTGTCATGAATCTGCAGTGAACGAATATATCAATCAAGCTTCGAGTAAAATAATTACAAAACTCGAAGTAGCTAAAGAACGTTATTTCATGGCTTATTTGTTTCACCGCTTCAATGCTATATGCGAACAGCAGGGAGAACACTCAAGGTTTACATACTTTACACAGAGGACTGTACTGGTTTAGCCGACTACATACACCCAATGCACCAGTGCATCTTTGCAATAATCGACCTTAGGCAGATTCGTTACCAATGAAAACAGCCAGTCCGTTTTCGGATACACACCAGACAATCACATATGCTAAGTGCCAACATGAGGGTTTAAGACGTCTTGAGCGCTGACAGTTTGGTCACGTCTTTACCATAACCTTCTGGTCAAGGATAAATGCGCGGAATTGGTAGAATTTTTCACTTTTTTTTATAACAGTGATCGTATTCCTTTAAAACTTCTATTTATCTAATGCAATACAAAATACTGGATCAGGTCTAACGGGCTGAAAACAGTCCAGGAACATGAGCGAATGTGGATGGATGTTGAACGACAATGAAGATCCGGGTGCCAATTAGATGATGAACACTGTAGTATTATCTCATCAGATACGGTGGATTTCCTGTTTTTATTTCTCCTTTACATAATTCCCCATAACTTTGACCACGTTGCATACGAATGTCAATTAGGCTCAACAAAGCTATTCAGTTAGAAAAAAAAAGTGAATCATAAGATGGATGAAAACTCACGCAGTTATCGGACTTTGAAAGACGGGGATCAGAAGTAAGCTCGGAAGGTTCGGGGGTTAACAAATCCTTTGGAAAGAATGAAAAAGAGAGGCCTTAAAGTTTGATTTTGGCTAAATATTGTCAGTATCACAAGGAAGTCCGCAGTAGAGGCAGTCAGGATGAGGGTAGATAAACAATTAGTCCAGTACACAGTCAAGACATCGAAAACAGATCATTTTGAATACAACACAGCTATGTCGTCTCTCTCTCGGGAACCATTTGCGAAGTAGGTACCGACAATACTTCTTCTAACTTTGGTCATGCTCTCCGTTATTTTCTGAAAGAACACTCCTGAGAACGAACAAAGGTATTCGGCCTTAACGTTCTACTCGGTAGGGCGGAAGCCCTGTAATCACCACCAACAGGTATGTAAAAATATAAACACAACACATTGTATATGAAACCGGAAAAATTGTTGAAGAAAAAGCAATACTTCACGGTGTTTGTCGCTCATCGGAGACCCGCATCCGGAATTATTCTACTCGGGTATTCCAACAATCGCATTCTCAACGTAATTGTCAGAATATTCCTATGTAAATTAGAGAGACACTAACTGAGACAAGCCAGCCTCAGGGAATGATCGTGCAAAGGGTTACGGTGTGCGCATACCTGATGAACGGCAATAATCGTGAAATCCGTTGCGTACAGGAAAACTTCGCCCAGTGAATTATGTAAAATACTCATTATAAAAAGTCATCGAAAATCGGTATTGGTACTGATTTTGTTGAACGCAAAAGCAAATAACCAATAAACAACAAAGCATTGTTGCTCTTATTCTTTTGATTCTCAGTAGCTGTTTATTAACCCTTCTGTAAACCAATCCCACGTTATTGGTTGTTGTTTTTTGTTGTTGCGTTGGCGCCATGCTTCCCCGCAAATTGATGATGAATATGCTAGCAAACAGTACGATAATGTACAATGAACGAAAGAAGGTGACCAAATAATATTTGCAGACGAGGTTGTTCAGGCGATAATGGGATTCGAATACACACATATTCTACCTATGCCTATGCGCGGCTCGCGCCGTACCATTTGAGGGACACATTTGGTCGCTCGCAGAAATGAAAGGGGTATATGGATATAAAAAGTGGTGAATAAGTACGATGAAAACGCTCTGCAGACCGAGATGTGGATAGATTTATGTGCTGACAGCGGTCTCAAAGAAATCCGTTGTGATGTGTGCAGACCCATGGAAGAGCTATCATCTAAACAGATGGTCACCACACTGAAACGGCGCTCGAGAAATCAAAAGAAATTGGAATGTGAAGCTCTACTCACTGCCTTCCCGTGGTGGTGTTTTCTCACCAAAGTAACAGGAATAAAAGCCGATATTCGGTTTGGTGGACCACTGGCAGTTCACCTCGGGGAGTTGGTCAAAATCCATGATTCCAAACCAACCAACAAGAGTTGTACGATCCACACTCACCCACACCCTCTTGGTTGTGGTAGTGGTCACTGGCTCGACTGGGCATCGAGGTGTATTAGGTACCTCGGACGTTTGACCCCAACCAAAGGTTCAATGAATCAATAAACTTAACAACGGCCCCAAACGGATTGCGGTTTTCACACACTGCCCTGCTGTCTTGCGGGTCAGGTGTAGATTGGCAGAAGGCTCCGGTTGTGAATTCCCTAATAAAATTCATCTGCTTTGGCCTGGGAAACCTGGAATTATTCCGCCCACAAACAAATCATGAACCATTTTTCTTTTTATAGGGATAACATTAGTATGATGTTTGGTACACGGCCTGGATTCAGACATATGTGAAATACGCAAATACAATCTTTTATTTTTCCTTTAGGATCCTTCACCAATATCACAGTCAAACGCTTTCATAGCTGTTTTTCATTACATTTAATGGCTTAGAGTGTAACCAAACGGTGGGTTGTATGGTTCAGATTTAAACTGCGTTCTCAATTCAGCATTATATTACACATGGGAGGGGGAGGTGTAAATCAATTTCTGACTGAACGTTAGAACTGAGATAACGGGTGTATTAGGAATGCTTTCGGTATGTATGTCAAGTTGTGAGTAGTCTATCGAATTTAAGCTACTACCAAACAAACAACTGACCTATGATCTGTCCGGATTAGTCTGGATATAGTAAATTTCCAACTGTTTTGTTCATACAAGTTTCAGAAATCCCACAAGCTGATTTGGGGTTTTCCGAAGGCAGACAGCTCGTCTTAACACATGATAAAGTCTTGAGGTAAGTAACCAAAGACCGAGATCCGCGACTGAATTTACTTAGACAGCATTCGCATTCATTTCCAACCAACTCAAGACCACGTCTAACCCATTCCTAAGGAAATCACCACTCTAAATCCTACGGGTAAGACCATTGTCACCCATAAGTGAACAGCGGGTCTTCCCAACCATGACTCATCCTTTGTGCTGTTCATCACACTAAATTGTGTAGTAAAATGTATGAAAGTCATGGCATTGATCATTTACGGGCATTGGAGAATAACACGGATGAAGGATAAATCCCCATAGTCACGAGGAACTGCTGTTCAGTGATGGAAACCGGTGACCTAAGCCCTGTGACTTGCAGTGGTAAACCACATAAATACCCGTTAGGTGAGGCGTGGTATTAACCTGGGGTAAAGGAATTAACTGTGGTAGCGATTAACATGAGTGCTCTTGCCCATCGAAGACACTCCGCTATATGAACTCAGTTTATAAATCAAAAATAGCGTGAAGTCGTGGGGAAAGAAAACTGATATATATACCTTATGCACCAACAGAAGTAAGACTAATGCTGCGGTTCGGAAACTTTAGACATCTCCTTGATACTAGCAATGTGCATGAGATTGCATTTATAGCAGCAGTGGTCAAGTGTTTAAGGTCGTCAAAACAGCCTTTGTACGGCCGCGGCTTCCACCCTGAAATTTGTGTACATTTGCATACTCCATTAACAATGGAGGAAGTAAAGCATTTATTTATTATTATTGTAATATTCGTCCAGAAGTATGCGATTAGGAAATAAAATGCATCTGGAATATTTTCAGATGAACACGGACTGCACGGTCACACCGAACGGAACCGTTGGCAGGTTGACAAATCACGTTTTTACCAAAATGTGGTAGAGCTGTCTTTGGCCGCTGAGCAACCAGTGTAACATGGTCAGTGACTCAGCCCAAAAGGAGATAAAAGCAAACTGAGTCGCTTTTCGTCTTCTAGTATTCATGTTTTGATATGTACTGTCCAATACCTCCTCTGACCTTAGTCTGAATATTGTGCCTCTCGAATACAACCATGTGTATAAACAAATGGACGAATCAGATAGGATAGATTAATCAGTAGGGTACACAGAACTTACCTCATTCGGTTTGATTGAAATGGAGGTTGGGCTCGAAACATTCGAATTAGCAAAGAATCCTTGTGACTGTGAAATCGAAACCTACACGAGAGGGAGGAAGAGAGACAGCCGGAACCGTACAAACTAACGAATGAATAGTACGCAACATGTGCTGAAAACTACGGGGACAGGGGTTAGAGAGCANAGAGAGCACGCGCAGGACTAACCAGGACAGACACAAACCAATCCGTCGTCGATACTAGTATACAAACAAATGATAACAATAATGACGATAATAATAGCTGCAATTACATGAACAGAAAAAAAAATTATCACCAGAAAAAAACGGTATGACCAGAACTGAAAACAAAGTTGACAGGAATTTAAAGCCAATGTAACTCATTAACCCGAGTCATTGATGTAGTGAAAAAGTATACTTTGATCAAAACACTATGTCCGTAAAAGCCATTTTACACTGGAAATCAAACGAACCTCGTCCACAACACATTCGTCCTCTGCTCTTGCAGTTTGGTGTTTATCCTTGGTGGCCGAACGACCAGGAATTTGCGAAAGGGATAGCAAATTCGATCCCCAACGTGATTTTGTGGGACTGATCGGTGGAACGAGTGCCCTCACATAAAACAAGCTGGAGTCTTGCTGATCTTTTCCGGGAGACGAATGCTCTTTCGTGCTTGAATGACTAGCCAAATTCCAGAGATGCGGTGAACTCCAGTATTTTCTGCGTAACCGTCGCATTATCAGAGCGTTCGACTTCTTGAAACGCTTGGGAACTTCCGCCTGACAAATTAAAGGTGACAGAAACGGAGTTTTTCAGTGTGAATCAAGGGAAGATGAACAGTGGGTCGTGGGACGTTTAACTGCATTCCCGGAACTTGTAATAAGATCGTTAGTTTCATGAACAACGGGCTCTATTCAAGACGCACGACACAGCGACGGTTAGATTGCGACAAACTGATTCAACCAGCATACATAACTGTCGGCTCAAAAGCAACAAACAGCCC